GGTAACTTTTACAATCAAATATACACTAACCTGTCCAGGATTTGTGAAGCAGAGAGCTGACTAGAGCTATTTATCTTTCTAGATATAAATGCTGACTCTCATTTTCATGAAGATATTAAAGAGATGTAGGTGCTCCAAGGTGGCACTCTTCCCTAATTTATCCAGTCACAAGTACTTTTTAAATTTTACATTCCTTTAGCACTCAACCAGTTTCCATTGCAATGTTTGTTAATTCTTTCTTCAAATATGTATTAAGTGCTTGTAATGTGTAGGAAAGGCAGTAGGGCATACAGGTTAGAACCAATACCTTGACTTCAAATGGACAATGTGTGATTCAGCTCAGCCACATAGGGCTTTATGACTTTGGCTAAGTTGCTTAATTTCTCTAACCTTTGTTTTATTCATCTGTAGAGTGAGGTAATAATAAGTGTATTCCTGTATACAGTATATTTTAATTACTATTTTAAAGATTAAATGAAATAAGGAATTTAAAGCTCTTAGCTCATGAGTTAAGAGCTTATCAGTGTAGGTAAATGTTCATATTATCTATTACTACTACTACTTCTATTACTACTACTGTCCTGTACTTGGTTTACTAAAGAAGAAACCAAAGATATAGAATAACCCTGTAGGTGCAGACTCTATAGGATCTGCTAGTCTTAAAGGAGAACATATCATACAACAGATGAAATGTTAAATGACCAAGGAAGTACCCCATATGTCTTTAAGACCCAGGAACACGAGGCTTACAGCTGGCAGCACAGTATAATGGTTAATATTGTAAACTATGCTGGAATCAATTGCTTCTTTTTAATTGTTGGTTCTACTATTGACAAGATGTGTCACCTGATACTGGTTATTTTTTTCTGTGCCTCAGTTTCTTAAAATGTAAAATGAAATAAGAGTACATTCCTCATAGGATCATTGAGAGGATTAAATGAGAAATACTTAAATGAAGAAAGCACCTTTTTAAAAAAGATTTATTTATTTATTTATTTATTTATTTATTTATTTATTTGAGAGAGAGAAAGCAAGCATGTGCATGCACATAAGCTGGGGGAGGGGCAGAGAGAGAGAGAGAGAATCTCGAGCAGATTCCCCACCAAGCACGGAACCCAACACAGGGCTTGATCCCAGGAGTCATGAGATCATGACCTGAGCAGAAACCAAGAGTCAGTCACTCAGCCAACTGAGCCACCCAGGTGCCCCAAAGAAAGGACTTTGACAGTGCCTGGCACAAAGTATTTAGTAAATGTTAGTGGCCATTACACACTTCTTTATATCCAGCTTAAGGCTTAGCATAATGATGTACCACAGATATTTGTTGGTTTGCTAGAAATAATAGTATGAATACCAGACTGTAGCCCTGTAACTATAATGCTATTAATTTATAATTGAAGTAGAAGGAGTCATTGTGGGCTACAGAAGTAAAATGGGTGCTCCCGCAGATACCCAATTTCTTCCATTTTCTCACTAAGAAAAAAGCGGGGGGGGGGAACCTGACTGAGGAGAGGAAAGGGGACGTATGAATAGCAGTTATAAAGTGGCATATAAGGTAATATGATAAACTAAATGTAACTCATTTATATTGGGTATTCCTGTCTCTAGGAGAGTAGCTTAAACTTGACTCAAACCCCCAACTTCTTGACTTGACTAAATCCAGTGGTGGTCCCCAAGCATTCTGGAACCTCAAGTACCTTTATTGAGTGTTCTTCAAACTATATCCATTGTCAGATGACGTGTGCATCACCGATCCTTGAGGAAAACAAAAGGATGGGGGTTTTCCATGGTTAAATAGATTTAGGAAACATTGATAAACAAAGTTTAACAAGTTTCTCAGAGGTTTTTTTTTTTTTAAGATTTTATTTATGTATTGGAGAGAGAGAGAGAGAAAGTGCACACACAAGCAGGAGAAGTGACAGGCAGAGGGGAAAGGAGGCTCCCCATGGAGAAAGGAGCCTGATACAGGACTCAATCCCAGGATCCTGGGATCATGACTGGAGCCAAAGGCAGACACTTAACCAACTGAGCCACTGAGGCATCCTTCTCAGAGGTTTTTATGTATATACATAGCACTTCCCCCAATGTATTTAACCTTGGAACTCTTTTCTCACAGAAAACCTATCAATATCTTCTACTTCACGGAAGGAAATTGGGGATATGCTACTTTAACTGGAAGGACAAAACTTATTGGCAAAATAACAGGTAATATAGAAAATGCTTACATATTTGAAAAAAAGGAAAAATTAATGTTTTGAATACCAATGAAATGGCAGAAACATAAACAACCAGTTATATAATCCTTGCAGTATCTGCATTATATTTTATCATCAAAATTTCATGGATCGGGCGCCTGGGTAGCTCAGTTGGTTAAGCGACTGCCTTCAGCTCAGGTCATGATCCTGGAGTCCCAGGATTGAGTCCCGCATCAGGCTCCCTGCTCAGCAGGGAGTCTGCTTCTCCCTCTGACCCACCCCCCTCTCATGTGCTCTCTCTCTCTCTCTCAAATAAATAAATAAAATCTTTTTAAAAAAATTTCATGGATGAAGACTTTAAAACTCAAAGATTAAAACTAAGTCACGCAGCTAGTAAGTGAAGGAGGTAGCTGCTTCCATTGATTAAAGTACTTCTTAAGCACCTCGAATTGCAAACTGGGAGAAAGGAAGTCTGACAAATGAAAGAGAAAGATTACTCCAGGGTATGCATGCACACCTTTCATTTTTCCTTTTCATCATTTTACCCACCAAATATATTAACTTAAATCCACTGAAAGTAACAGAGAAAAAGTAGTAAGTCTTAATAATACAAGAAGTACAGAACAAACGCAAATTGCTCTAAAAAGCACCAGCTGCCACAGAAAATATTGATTATGTTCTTTTCACATTTTAGGACCAAAATTCCTTTAACCTCCACCGAAAAATTTTCATAGCAGGTCCAGTGAGGTACATGAATAGTGAGTCTATATTTCAATGGTCCTGGTTTCCTTTGAATATGGAACCAGTAAAATTAAGACAGACACATTTTTTAAACTACACGGGTTAAGAAAAGTACTAAGTTCTGGAATGCACACTGAACATGTTTTCCATATGTATCCTGATAGATATATTCTATACATGTGGATAATTAGTTTTGTTGTTCACTGAATATCTTCTAACTATGCCCACCAGATGTAACCCAAGGAGTTATTTTTGTAAATTGGATATAGTTTGCTTATTGGATCAAAGGGACTGACACAGATGAATGATTTCCTGAGAGGCCACCACACTATCTTTCTGAAATAAGAACATGCCAAAGAACTTTAACGACCCTGTAGTGCAGATTCCCTCCCCAAAAAACCTAAAAGCTCAAAGGTGTAGGGCCAAAAGCAATGAAATTGCTGGGTTCTGGACACTTTTGCAATACCTAGGGACACTGGGGTCAGACAACATTATTTCTCATAAGGAGCACTAATAATGTAATTTGTGACTTAAAGGAAGGTCATCTCTCTGTCAGTGACTATTACCTATTGCTCAGAGGATTTTCCAGAAGGGTGGCTTGGAAACCTTTGACTTATTTTCCATCTCTGAACTTTTTTTTTTTTTAAGATTTTATTTATTCATTTGGGATAGAGAGAGCACAAACCAGGGGACAGAGGAAGAGGGAGAAGTAGGCTCCCGCTGAGCAGCCAGCCAGATGCTGGGCTTGATCCCAGGGTCCTGGGATCATGACCTGAGCCGAAGGCAGATGCTTAACAGACTGAGCCACCCAGGGGCCCCACCTCTGAGCTTTTAAAAAATCTTTTGCCTCCTAGGTATCTTGAAGAAAATGAGACAATGCAACACAGCTTGTAGATTTGAGGGCATTTCCCAACACAGAACACTATCTTACTTGATCCTCACAATAACCTTATAAGTAGGTAAGGCAAATACTTCTATACCCATGATTAAGCTGTATAAACTGAGGTTTATAAGTCACAATGAAGCAGGACTCCAGAGATTGGGTCCAGCACTCTTAATGTGATAACCTGGGGACGGGACATGCATAAACTGGAAAGCAAAATGGGATTATCACTGAGAACTGCGCCTCAGAAAATCTTTTGGTTTCTTTGCCTACATTTCGTGTATATTTTTCCAAGACAAACTTATACCACGTTCGCAAAACACTAACTTTCTGACCAAAAGGTCATGTTCGTTTATCTACAAAGTAGATAACCTTATAAAGTGTTTTCTTTCTGTGGTGAAATAGTCTGAAAACAGCTCCCCCTCGCTGTCGTTCGAAGCATATCTCCGCCAAAGTCAAAACGCAGAGCTCGAGCGGAGAGTATTTCTGCTTCGCTCTGGACCGGCAGCTGGGCTCTAGCGGTCCAGAGTTACAAATTAATAGGTATTTGGTCTCGCTTGCTTCAGAGCGTCTCTTTCCTGACCGGAGACTGCATCTTTCTCGCTCCCGAGCGCAGGGATCTGGCGATTTTTCGCTCCCTTGCGCTGGACAGCGCTGCATGAGGGGCCGCTCTTAGACAGCCGCTCTTTGTCCATCCAAAGAGATGTCCCCACGATTCAGCAGTAACCAGACCAAGTCCCCACGGACTACTGTGGCCCAATTTCCGCCCATCCCCTCTGTGGGAATCAGGCTTTTCCCGGAGAAAAGCCCGGGAATCCAGCTCAGAGAAACTAGGCCCCCGCCCCCAACTCCAGAAAACCAGGAGACGCTCCGTTTCCCTGTTGTGGATACACCCGCGGCAGCCAGGGACTGCGTGGCGGGGGGGGGGGGGGGGGGGGGGGGGGTGTCCGGTAGGATAACTGAGTGCGTCCTTCTGGTCCTCAGACGTAGGTCATAGGCAGGTTAACAAATAGCAGGTATCAAAGATTTATTGAGAAGAGAGAGCCTTTTAAGTCACCCCCAGTTGTTGCCCTGGGGTGCGGAGGGAGAGGAGCGGAGCGGGGAGAGATGAAATTCCCGGAGCCAAGTTGCTCAAGGAGTAAAATTAGCCGGGGGCGGGGGGGGGGGGCGGGGGAGCGGGGGGCGGCTGGCTAGTTGCGGAGGTAGAAACCCCTGCTGCAGGGCGTGGGGTCGACCTCCAAGTTCAGGCGCGAGAGCGCGCGCTGGCGCGGATGTGGACTCGGAATTTCAAGGTACCGCATTAACTACGTCTGTTAAAGTCAAATGAGGAGTTAAGGGGGGCTTGAGGAAATACTGGTAATCCCAGAAAAGGCATGGCACGTCCAGTTCTCCAAGTTTTTGTAAAAGAAGAGTGGGAAAGCGCCACCATCCCGACTCTTTAGCCGAGGAATCGGCGAGTCTCCCAGCCCCACCCCTGCAGCAGTGATGCAAAGAAGACAATCACCGACGTAGAGAGGAGGGAAAAAAGAAGAAGAAGAAGAAGAAACCCCCGGGAGTGGGGAGGAGAGAGGGGAGAGAATAGGCCCGGAGCAGTCTCCAATCACTGGGACGAGAGGGAGCGCCTTCTGGGGAAACGAACCCCACATAAATAATTGAGTTTGGAGCCCAGTGCTTTCAGAGGCTCGGAGCGCACCTCCTGAGCGTCTTCCGAGTTGAGAAAAAGGCGGAGCAGGGCAAGGGGCCGGCGACGGGACCGAGAGCAGCTCAGTTGGCGGTGGGACGCTGTGCCTGCAGACGTTCGCAAGAGGGCCAGCAGAGCCCAGCGCGCCCCGAAGGCCAGGAGCCCTCGCCAGCGGAGGTGGGAAGAGAGCTGGCCTCCTGAGGAGGCGCTGCATGGGCACCATGCGTATCTCCGGAGGCCCCACCGCGGTGCCCGCGGACAACTCCAGCCAGTGGTGGCCTCTGTCCGCTGGGGGTGCCAACCGCAGCCGGGAAGCAGAGGCGCTCGGGGAAGGCCGCAGCCCGCCGGGGGACGTGCGCGACGAGGAGCTGGCCAAGGTGGAGATCGCCGTGCTGGCTGTGACTTTCGTGGTGGCCGTGCTAGGTAACAGCAGTGTGTTGGTGGCGCTGCACCGCACGCCTCGCAAGACGTCCCGCATGCACCTCTTCATCCGTCACCTCAGCCTAGCCGACCTGGCTGTCGCTTTCTTCCAGATGCTGCCGCAGATGTGCTGGGATATCACCTACCGTTTCCGCGGACCCGACGTACTGTGCCGCGTGGTGAAGCATCTGCAGGTGTTTGGCATGTTCGTATCGCCCTACATGCTGGTGGTCATGACCGCCGACCGCTACATTGCCGTGTGCCACCCGCTGAAGACGCTGCAACAGCCAACGCGCCGCTCGCGCCTCATGATCGCTGCTGCCTGGGTGCTGAGCTTCGTGCTTAGCACGCCTCAGTACTTCGTCTTCTCCATGGTCGAGGTGGACAACGTCACCAAGACCATTGACTGCTGGGCCACCTTCATCCAGCCCTGGGGTCCCCGCGCCTATGTGACTTGGATGACGGGTGGCATCTTCGTGGCGCCCGTGGTCATCCTGGGCACCTGCTACGGCTTCATCTGCTACCACATCTGGAGCAATGTCCGCGGAAAGACGGCTTTGCGCCCGGGGAAGCGCGCGGAGGGCGCGGGTCGCGCCTTGCATAAGGGGTTCCTGCTCGCGCCGTCTATCAGCAGCGTGAAAGCCATTTCCCGTGCCAAGATCCGCACCGTGAAGATGACTTTTGTGATCGTGACAGTTTACATCGTTTGCTGGGCGCCCTTCTTCATCCTCCAGATGTGGTCTGTCTGGGATGACAAACTTGTCTGGGTCGGTAGGTATCCGGAGAAAGGAGGAAAGTGCAGAAATGCGGCTGGTGTATGTGTCGGGGGGCGGGGGGGGGGGGGGTCTCTTTTCATAATAGCCTCTGGGGCAGTAGTTCTTAAACTTCTGCGTGCCTAAGGATGACGCCTTGGGTGAAATTATCAAAAAGGCAGTTTCTGGGGGGTCTCCGCCCCAGACATTTTGATTCAGTACATCTAGAAATAGGCCCAGGATTCTCCATTTGTAGCTTGCAATGATCCTAAGACAAATCCAGAAACTGCGCCCTAGAGTCAGCCTCTCAACTACAAAACAGAATAATGACTAATACTCTTTTCAAGTCTATTGGATTCAGAGAAATATTTCTACGGTAACAACTGCTTTTTGCTAGTTTGTAAAAAGTTATCACAATTAATACAAAAATTTTGTAGAAATGCCTCAAGGGCAAGCATAAACTGATATATTTTTCTAAAGAAAGATTCTTAAGAAATCAATAATTCTATTTTAGCATTTAGTTAGTTTTCCATTTCTTATAATCTTTTAATTTTTTTCTAACAATTACTGTAATACTTTTTTTCTGGTATTTTAAAGCAGGATTATTGATAAGCTCTAAATTTGTTAAACTAATGAATTTTTCTTTCAGCACTAACTTAACCACACAGCTGCAGCCTCTGCGTACAACTCTTGCAGTTTACAGAGAATGTTCTCTACACCTACTAGCTTGTTTGATTTTAATTCCTCCACAAACTGAAAAAACTAACTTCACAAGAAATCCTCCCCCCAAAATTATTTAATATTGGGTCTTGAAAAAAGTATTTCCTTTTAGTAAGAAAAAGTTTTTTTTTCAAATAAAATATATTACAGGAATGTTACCAACAGCAGCTGTAGTTGGGAAATAAGCATCTGGAAAGAACTGTCTCCTTTTGTTATTTGGGATTGCAGTAGGGAATATATGTGCTATACTTGCATGGCTATAATATTACTGATAAATAATACAACATAAATGATATTTTTTTGGTTTACCGTTTCCTGTCTTGCTTGATCTTAGCAGCCTCTTAATTATTGCCAGTCAAATAAAAAACTCAATCTAATTATTGCTTTATCAGGATTTAGACATAATTTTTAAAAACTTGTGCATAGGTATGCTGATGATTTTCATTCTTTTTGAATATAGTCTTAGCCATGGATCATGATCATCTTTAATAGCGGCATCTTAGCACAAAGTCTGATTAAATAACCTGCAATTTATTCCAGTATAGCAAGAGTGAGAAGACCCAAGTTTATATTTAATAATCAAGAAAAAGTGCCTGCTGATTATTATCTTTAGAAAAGGTAGATTATCAGTCTCACAGTTCTGTGGAAGGTTATAATCTTTATGTAGTTTACCAGTGCAAATTAGCATAAAATATTTCAAAAACTCATTGGAATTTCCTAAGTCAACTGTTATAATTTAATTGTCTAAACCGCAAAGATAGTTTTCTTTTAAAACCAAAAGAAACCATAGAAAATTAACCAAAAAGAAAAAAAAAACCCAATTCCACAAACAACTAAATAATGCATCTTTCAGGGACCTATTACTACTATGTATAGTTTTCTTATTACAGAATATGTTCAATATTAAAAAATGTAAAACTAGTAAACATGGTCCATAATGTCATACTTTTGCCTTAGTTGTGAGGTTGAATACAATTTTGTATATGTGGCTATGGACTTTTGAAATTTCATTGAAATTGCAGCCATTGTGTAAGTGCTGTGTCCATTAGCACATACTAGTGCTAGGATAAAGAATACAAAAATTTTTAAAATAAATTAAGTGATGAATCACTATCTTCTAATCCTGAAACCCATATTATACTCTATGTCAACTAACTAGAAGTTAAATAAAAATTTGGAAAAAAAGAAAAAATAATAAATTACTTAATATTCTTAGCTTCTTGAAAGTCCCACTCATTCTACTGAAATATTTTTAAGTGGTTTAAGATATTTGTATTTATCTCAACGCATCTTGCCTATGAAAATATTTTACAGCCAAGCAATTTCCATGCACTGATAAACAATATACTTCATTTTCTGTATTAACCCATGACTTTTTGCCACTTTTAATAGTCTGTAGAAAAATGAGTTTATCCAGTGCACAGTAACTTGCATGTGACTGTTTAAATCATCTCCCCCCATGTTTTTTGTACAGAATCGGAAAACCCAGCCATCACCATCACTGCGCTAATGGCCTCCCTGAATAGTTGTTGCAATCCCTGGATCTACATGTTTTTCAGCGGCCATCTCCTGCAAGACTGTGTCCGGAGTTTCTCATGCTGCCAAAGCATGAAGCAAACATTCAACAAAGAAGATTCTGACAGTGTGAGCAGAAGACAGACTTCTTACACTAACAACCGAAGCCCAACCAACAGTATGGGTACATGGAAGGACTCGCCTAAATGTTCCCAGTCCATCAAATTCATTCCTGTTTCCACCTGAGCCCACATTCACGCAGCCTGACTCTTGTAACTGACTTTTGGGTCCACTGGCTGAATCCAGCTAGAAATCAGAACAAATGAACTTATAAGTGATAAGTGTAAATCGATGTGTTGAGGACAAGACTGGGTTTCTAGTTGCATTTTCACACTGCTATGACCAAAAGTTATGAATTATTTTATACGGGATGCTAATTAAAAACAAACAAACAAAAAAAAAAAACCATGCTACACTAAAATTTGCAGGCCTAATTCCCAGGAATAGAAGTTACATTTCTAAAGGAAAAATCATAACCACCCTGGCTTTACATTCTGTTGTCGGTTTCCTCTCTTTTCTTTTATTACGGACGTAACTAAGGCTTGATTGATTTAGAAGTCATACAATGTCGGGGCATTATTTCTGAACAAAGTGAGCTCATCATCTGTCTTAGTGTTTGAAAGGAATTAGAAGAAACTTGAGAGAAATTGTTTCCATCCAATAAAAATGAGTTTATGCATCTGAAAATGCAGCCTCACACGATGGCCTGGAGATGGGAAGGTGCCTTGGACAAGCATGAGCACTTGGGGCATATGGAGCAGGGGATGCCTGATTCATAGCAGAAAGAGGAGAGTTCTGTTCAATGCTGTAAATCACCTAAATTTCAAAATGATAACTTTAGAACTGGCATTTCCCTCCTTGTTTTAGGTTCCTCGTGTTTTACGGGTTGTTGAAAGCACAATTACTAAGATGCTGAAGGGTAGAGAAGATATTGTCAAATGGCCAATAAAACCTTTATTCTCCCCCTGCAAGGCCACTTTAAAGTCAGATTTGTATAAGGAATATCCGATTTTATTAGAAGAGTAGAAATGGATTATACAAGGTACTATGTAGACTTTCTCTAGAACATTGTAAATATGTTTTGACCAGTGTTATAAGGTGTCCTGTGTTATGCTGGTTCATGTGTGGGGTGTCCAGATTATTACTTCATGTTTGGGGTGTCCAGATTTATAAATAAGAGAATCTTCTAAAGAGTGACTCACATCTGGGTGGCTCAGTCGGTTAAGCGTCTGGCTCTTGGTTTCTGCTGGGGTCATGATCTCGGGGTCCTGAGATTGAGCCCTATGTGGGGCTCCACACCCAGCACAGAGTCTGCTTGTCCCTCTCCCTCAACTACACACCCCCCTTTGCTCTCTTGAATAAATAAATAAATAATCTTAAAAAGAGTGACAGGATATAGAAAGTCCCCTAGTGCTTAATTAAAAGTAATTTGGTCTTTCTTTCTAGTCTCCCACCCATCTAACAGTTATATAGCAGAGGAGAGGCATGGTTGGGTGGATGGGGGTGGGAGGTTGGGAGAGGGGGGAAACTGTTCTGCACCTAGTATGGTTTCCTTTGCTATTAAATGCATGACTTTGACAACTTACTTAAAGACACATAAAGCCTTCATTTCCTTGGCTGTACAGTGAGGTTGATAACACCTCATAGGGTTGTTATGAGAACCAAATGAAATCAAGGGTGTGAAAAGATCTTCATGAACTGACGAGTACTCTGTGAATGTACCAGTTGCTTTTATTATAGTCATAGGGTCTTCAGAATCACACAGCGTTTTCCTGTTTACTTTCCATTAACCAGAATTTGTTGGTTTCATGTCTGGGATATAAAATCCTAAAATTTATATATAGCTCTGCTGATTCATTGGAAAGCATTGCCAGAGGCCACAAAGCCTGACTCCTGCCTAACCAGAGTTTTCCAAATTTAAAGATAGAACTTGCTTTCCTTTAAATGCAGGTAAATCAGAGCCAGCCGAGAGCCTAGGTTTCTTTTATTTCTAAACAGAGATAAATTACAGCATTACTTGGCTCTTCTGACTGCATTTTTCATTAATGCAACCCAGTGTTGTTGTTTTTTTCCGAGCTTTTTTGTCTGGCTCCTTCTCCTTTTTAGAGATCATGCAATTATTTGAGAATACCTCATCAATGTTTTGTATCCCTTAGAGGAAGCAATAATTATTTTAACAGCATTATTGTAGTGTTGTGGGTTTTTTTTAACTTTGTAGATAAGAAGCTGAGGACTGTACAGCCCTGTGAGAACCTAGAAGCTTCAACTTCCCTCCTCTTCATTCTTTTGCCTTTCCAAATTCTCAGGCTCACTACTCCCTGGATGGACATGCTTAAAAAAAGTTCGCAAATGTTTTATAGAAATTAAGCCCGTAGGTTTTAGAATTCTGTTTTTTAAAAATAGCAAATATGTCTCTTAACGGGCACTGTTGTGAGCCACCAATTAAATGAATCCGTTCTTCATTATTTGGGTCATAACAGTATCTCAGTAACCCTGCCCTTGGGACTCTGTCAGCCCTTGTGACAACTTCCCTTCAACAGTTCAAAACTAAAGTCCTTTTGGTTGGTACAAAGATGAGCCCATCCAGTTCCAAAATAATAACATCACGTTTTTTGTACAGATTGTTTCAAAATGTTGACGCATACCTTCAAGCAAAACAATTCCGTTTGAATCTTATTTCCAGGAACATCTCTCAAATAAGGCGCATATCAACCTACCCAGCTGTGTTCCCTCCTTTTAAAGGCAGCAGGAGATAAGATAACACTAAAGAGTAGGGGGATACACCCAAAGATCCAAGTGCTGGTTCTGCACTAGGCAAGTAGACAGTTTTATTCTCTGTGATTTAGGCTGAGAAGCTTAACTTAGCTAGTTGCTAAACGTCCTTGATGTGATGTACCCAGAAACCATATTCCAAATGGGAAGAGTCCTGCTTATCTATATCAGAAGAAAGGAAACTGCAGGTGGTAAAGAAGAGTGTGCTAGGAAGGAAAGATTCCCCTTTCCTGACAGAGGAAAAGACCTGAGATACTATGCCTAGTGAAGGCTTGCAATTAAGGATAAATGTGTTATATCACCTTAGTTAATTTTGTGGAGTTATCTGTGGGAACACCCTGCAAAAATATAATATTACTGTATCTGTGTGGGTATGGGTAATGTAATCAGTAAACAATCCACCGGTAGGGAGAAGCTGGCGGTGTCAGCTTCTGGGCATTTGATAAACATTCATTGTTGATGAAAAAGGAACATTTTAAAGTATGTATTAAGGGATTGATGGGTTAATTTGGGACAGTGTTTTTAAAGTGTAAAAATAACTGTGAAGGAAATCAGTGAAATTCTTCAGTTAAATATATACTTGCCCTACATATAGAATTTCCATCATCATCAAAGGAGTCTCACACCATAAATGAGGGAAAGGTGTGGTTTTTAAAGGGGGAAAAAATCAAGCAGACGTAATAACATCCAGTATTCTCCTAAACTTACTACGGTTCCTAGAATGGACATCAAACACAACTTTAATCTGTTATCACACAAGTAAAGTAATCCAATTAGATTAAAGTTTGAAGTTTTTCAGACTCGAAAACCTGCCTTTTTATAATGCAATTTCGTCCCCGAAGTTTTAAATTACAGCTTCAGAATTTAAGTCTACCCCTAAGGCATAATTAGAGCCATTGAAGAAGCAGTTGAGCCTAATCCTTCACTCCAAATATCAGAGAGTAGGCTCCTTTAAAATCCTGGTAAACTGGGCCCTTATAGGTTTTCATACTGGAGGCAAGAGCTGTATTTAGAGTAAGCCCAGGGCAGAGCCATCTGGAAGGTACAGAAGCAACCACTGTATCTCTGTCCTCTCCCTCCCTGTGGTCCTTTTAGTATCACTCAGTGCCATTTGCCAACCCTGGGAATCATGAGTAACACAGGACAATAAATATGAGAGAATGAATCTTTATTACAACTTGACCTCAGCCAACTGGAGCAAAAATCTGAAGACTATTCATAAGAAGAGTTATTTCCTTTGAGTCCCAAGACAGACTAAATTAGTTGCTGAGTCACTAAATAAATTGCAGTCGTGATTCCACTGCGTGTGTAGACATTTTAAGAATATTGTGGATACGGTAATGGGCACTTGTCCCTAGGTTAGAATCTACAACACCCTGTAGGAATTCAGCAGAACTTAAGTCAAAGTGTATATTTGTTTCCCCTGCCCAAGTCCCAGCTCCCATGGTTTACCAAATCTTACATGTTTTGACCACAAATGCACCCCACAAACCCGTGTTACCTAAGTATCCACTGCCTGTATGGATGCCTCAAACTGTTAGTTCTTTGTGCTCACCCTTTCCTTTAATATCCAAAAAAAAATGTTTCAGCCTCATCTCACACATTGTGCAAAGTCTGTGCCTTTCTCCAGGTCTAAGTGGAATCCTGAGGATTATTATGAATTTCTGCTTTTGTTGAACTCCCAGGTCACAGCTCATTAGTTCACTTCTCGTGACTACTTTTACTTTACTCATTACCCTTTCTTCCAACATCTCTATAAACACCTGGCTGCCCTGCATGATGGGGTTCCCCTGAAGGATGGGGTCAACTTGGGACTTAGGTCATGCCTCAGAAGAGACAGTGATTCATATTCACGGTCCTGAAGTTCAATGACCATCCCTTCTAAGGGGGGTTAGTCTCTAATCAGTCTTCCCTTTAGGACCTTGCTGGCTGCCATCTTGCTCAAGCCTCATCTCTCGACCAAGACCCCCAAACCCTTGTTTCTCCAACTGCCAGAAATTAACAATTTTTCCATTTTAGTTTGTAGAACTATTTAGATTTATTTGTGTAAAGCGCTCTTACTTAGACTATGCCTTTTCAGACAATGCATTGCCCTTAAGGTGTTTTCTCAAGCAGAAGAGCTATTCTCATCCCTTAAGAAATGTTTTTCCTAGATCAAAAAGCTCAAACTGTACTGAGCTTCTAAAATAACTTTTTTCTTCATTTCTTTTACACTAGTTGTTAAACAAATATAGGATGCTTAAGTAATTCAGACTTTGCCCTTTTTATGCATTTGTGTAACTTTTGCTCTTTCTTCATGTTGAGTTGCCCTCTAGTGCCATAGGTACACAGTTACAAGGTCATCTCAAAATACTGTACCAGATTATCTCAGAGGGAGGTCAATCCAGATGATTGGGTTTTCTATTTCTTGATTATTGCATGTTTTTTTAAATTTTTTATTCATGTGCAAATTCTGTAACATTTTTTCCATAGCAGTCAAGCAATAAGCAACTGCACCAGCTAATGTTAATATTGTATATATCATGTATACATAATATGTATATATTATATATATTTAAAATATATTATGTGTAGGTAATAGACTTTATTTTTTGAGCAGTTTTAGACTGACAGCAAAAATTGAGTGGAAGGTGCAGGGATTTCCCATATACCCCCTCTCCCCACACATTCACAGCCACTCCCATTATCAACATCCCTCATCAAAGTGGTACATTTGTTACAACTGATGAACCTCTGTTAACACATCATTATCACCCAGAGTCCATTGTTTACATTAGAGTTCACTCTGTGTTGTAAATTCTATGGCTTTGGACAAATGTAAAATGACACATTATTACATCATTACAGTATCCTCCAGAGTAGTTTCACTGCCCTAAAAACCCTCTGTGCTCTGCCTATTCATCCTGCCTCCCCTTCCAACCCCTGATCTATTTATTGTCTTTATAGTTTTGTGTGTTATATTTTAATATCCACTGTGTCCTTAACACCCTAGCCTAGATCATTGCCCCGGCTTACCTAATTATTACTTCACTGTAAAACAATATCACATAAAATAGATTCAAAAACAACTCTAAGTTGCATATAAAATAATCCATAATTTTTTTTTAATTTTATTATGTTATGTTCCACTTCACATCATATAGAGACAGCTGAATTTACCCACTTGAACAGAAAAAAATAATTTTAAAAAGCAGAAAGTTTGCCAGAGTATTAATAATTTCCTGCAAGTGCTATAAAACTTGACTTTAAAGAAATTGTTTTGATATATGTGCTGTTTTATTACCTTAGAAAGAAAGAGCACTTCTAAGAACATCAGAGAATGCTAATTTAATTTGTTCATACCACAAAGATACAAATGAGTTTGTAGTTTGAAATAAATTTATGTCTGGAGGACTCATTAAAAAAAAAAAACTAAGTTATTTTAAAACAAATGAAAACAAACAAAAATCTTGCCACAATTAGCCTTTCACGTTTGCCCAGACATTTGTCAAAATCTCTGGTAGAGGCATTTAGACCCCTCTGTTCTTTCTCCTTTCCCTCCACCTTATACCAGCTTTAAAGCACTTTCCATTTACCAGTTTCTACTTTCCAGCTGTGGCTCAACTTTCAAGCAC